CGCTTGTTTAATTAATATAAAATAAAATGGCTATAATATATTAATTCGAGGATAAAAAGATGTTATTCTTTCAACTTAAGTCTTGAGGGTAAGGATGTAAACCATCATTTTTTAATCAAATGTCATAGCAGTATTATCCAAACAGTAAGAAAATCATATGAATAAATAAAACAAAAGTATCTATGAAAACTGTCAGAAATTTATGATAATGCAGTATTATCAAAGAAGTGTATAAAAGTGCACATGATGTTCAATTATTTTGTATTAATCTCAAATCTACATCTTAATCACATGCTTAGTAACAATAAATCAATAAAAATAAATCAATGCCTTATGTACATGTACAAGCAATTATATTAAACAGGTAAGGAATTCTGGTTTGCGAAGTATGTTTCCATTAAATATTCTTAAGTATTCATGTGACTTTTATTAATCTCGAATCAATATTGTAATTATTTTTTATAACTCCTAATCAGTAAATCATGTAAATCAGTAGAAGATATCACCAAAAGTTAATAGTATTTAAAGGAAAGCTTGTCAGCCTACCATCCTGCACATATATAAAATAGTCTCCAGCCAATCTCAACAATGAACCAGCCCTTCATATTTATTTTTTACACATAATACTGTAAAGTAATAATGACCAACTATTACTCATTTATATGCCCATATTCATTCACAATATTTTCATTAACTATATAATCATATCAAAATGCCCAAAATACTATTCTTGCTCAAAATCATACAAAATGAAATGAATACAATTTTAACTTATAAAAATACAAAACCATCCTTTCAAATGACCAAAATAATCACTATTATAATATACTAAAAGTTATGCGATAAAAGTCACAAAAATATGAGAAATCGCAATACATATCTATTTAGACAAAAAAAAAAAAAATCTAGAATCAAAATATTCGAAAATAAAGATTGGATAGAAGTTACCTACAATGATCAGAATAATTTTTTGTAATAAAAATGACAGTCAAAAAAATCTCAGAAGCTTTTTCTTTCCTTTCTCTCTCTTCTTTTTTCCCTTCTCCTCTCCCCTTCCCTTCCTTTCCCGGCAAGGAAAATGAGAGAGAGGGAGAGACTGAGGAATGATTGAGCAGAGAAAATTTTATATTAAAAAATAATATTTTTAGGGCCTAGCGCCGTGTCTCTCCAACTTGGTGTTGCAACACTACATGCTCGTTTCAGAGTTACTATAAAATAGAGAGCATCAACTCCGCTACATCGAATTCTAACTCCATAGCGCAGCTCCCCTTAGAGTCGTTGTATTCAAAATCACAATGCTGCATCGCCACAATTTACAAATTTCATATATTTATTTTTTTCAAATAAATTCATTTAAGAACTCTGAGTTGTTACAATGATATAGATTATGAATTTATGATGAGACTTTTGCTCGTGTTATAAAAATGATTTTCATTTATACTATTTTTGTGATAGCATTAGTCTTTTAGTGACATATGTCTTAAATATATGAAAAGAATGGCTTCTTAAATGGCAACCTTCAGGAAGATGTCTATATGGTTCCACTCTCCAGGTGTTTCTCTTAACCTTAAACTTGAGAAAGATTATATAATCATCAACATCCACTTTGTGCTTGGTTTGAGAAGTTTTCTACTATGCTTATTATCTAACTTAATTTTCACCCTAGTGACCATTACACTACCCTTTTTCTCAAGCGCACTCCTATTGGACATATTTTGCTTTTCTTATATGTTGATGATATGGTGATTACATATGATGATATTAATGATATTGTTGTGTAGAAGTCTGAATTCATTTCTCACTTTAAAATAAATGATTTGGCCATTTCAGATAATTTTTTAGGTATTGAGCGGTTCATTCTTCTAAAGATTATCTCTCGCAATTTAAGTATGTAGTTGATATCATGAATTTATTTTAAATAAAGTTATTTTAAAATTTAAAAGGATTAGGTATTTTGGCCATAAGTTTCAAATAAATCATTTTTTTTTGTATTTTCAATAAAGTTATAATCGAGTAAGTGCAGTTCGATAAGACAAATACAATGATATGAACAACATTTACATCTGAATACAAATATACTTAAATTAATTACTATGAAACACAATTAAAATTTTTTCAAAATGATTTAAGGGATTAAATATCATCTAAATTTTTTGTGCTATTTGTTGAAATGAGTATCTTAACATGACAAATTTGACTTGTCCAAGACCACCTAATGAAGAATTGAGATTAAAAAAAAAAACATGGTATAAAAAGATATGCTTATACTATTTGATGCCATTTTTAAAAATTTTATAGTGATTATCAAAATGCCCTTCTTGAAATTTTTAATGTATATTATATTTTCACACATATATTGGATGACTTCATAAAGAAAATTTTTAAATTCATTGAGAATTTCAAATCTATCCTTATCATTACCCAATATCAGCTATTGATCATCATCAATGTTTGTTGTTGACCACATTAATGCTAGTATCATCAACACCCTTTGACTTATAATTATTTTCATCATCATAGCTGGGTGTTCATCAGCATTGGCGCTATTCATCATCACCACTGGAATTATGCATCATATTAACCTTGATGCCCATCATTACCATTGTCTAAAATTTGTTAACCATCGTATATGTCTTCTCAATCTCTTATGCTTCGTTTGGGACAGCTTTTAATCATTGCTTTTTCGCCGCTTCCATTAAATCTTTAAGCTAGAAAACTGCTTTTGAAAGCAATAAAAAGGTTGTCCCAAACAAAGCCTTAGTTTCGAATCTTATTAAGAAAATGATCAACCAGAATGTCCATGATTGTATGACTTTCAATGTTCTCTATAGTCAGTGGCTTGATGAATACCAATAATCAATATTTGAGACTATGGTAAAGGCATACCAAAAATCAGTGAATTGTACTATAAAAAAATAGTGAGACCCTGATATATTTGACTAGTATAGTATTTTGGGAGCAATTTTAGCCCTAGAAAATTCATCAAGTCATTGAATGCCAAAAATCCATCAAAATTTTAATGAAACAAAGAATTTACAATTTCTTTTGGTTATTCACTATTTTTTTGTCATAAAATGTCTCAATAAATCACTTATTATTGATGAATTTTATGTCCTAGAAAGTCACTAATTATGTAAATAAGCTTCTTACTTTGCTAGTAGCTTGCCTATTAATACTCAACATAAAAATCCATGTTATAATATATGAGATGTGTATTTGTAAAATATCTAACTTTTAATCATATTTTTAATAATTTCAATTTATTAGTTTCCAGTGAGTTTCAAAAATATAATCTTACACATTTTTCTCCTTTAAAGAAAATTTTCACATAATTTTAAAATGGATAAAAAATTCCATCCAATATTTACCAATAATAGATTGCAAAGAATTATTTTTCTCACCAACAAAGATGAACAGAATAAGAAAAACCCACATTTATTATTTATACAAATCAATATGAAAATGCTAAACTCTAACATAAATTAAAAAAGGAGAGGAAAAATACATAATGAAGTCTGATCTATGGAACTTATGTGTGATATTGAATGCCTGCTATTATATAGTGTTAGGGCATCTCCAACCGAAAATGTCATTTTTCACTCCAAAATGTAGGGAAATCAAAAAAATGCCGTGTTTCATCTCCAATCCAACGCCATTTTGCCGCTAAAATGGTCGTTTTCGTTGGCGCCTTTCTTCCCAAGCTGTTCGGTAGAGAGAAGAAAATGCCGCAGATGAACAGAGCAACGCCAATATTGGCGTCGCACTGTTCATCCGCGATCAAATGGCGTCAAAAATGGAGATCGGTTGGAGCAAAGCAAGAACGACAAACAAGTGTTTGCCGTTCGGTTGGAGATGCCCTTAAGAAATCTTGAATGTAATGCTTTTATTAAGGGGCTATTTGTTTAATGAAAAAGGAATGCATAGTAAAAAAAATGAAGGAAAAAATAGTGCATTAAAAATACTTGTGAGTTGTTTAGTTAAGTATTCTTATGAGTTGTTTAATTGAGTATATTACAAATGCAAGAGTTTACTTTTGTTTTTTTTTTTAAAAAAAAAATTTAATGAAGGTAAAGCAAAAAATAGATGTTTGAAATAATAATTGATCATATATAAATGATGGTGATGAGGGTGACTTTCGGTAGCAGTGGGTTGTGGCTACCAAGGATGGTGGTCAGCAACATTGGCAGCTCATGGTGGTGAGGGATGACGGGTAGTAGTTCTCAGCACTGGTGGCGATAGGTGGAGAGGTATGGCAACAACTAGTGATAAAGGTTGAAAATGGTGGTGGCTAGTGGCTGCTAATGGACAGGTGGTTGCGAGCAGGTGACGAAAAGCTTTGATATGTTACTTCAAAATTCTTATATGATTATACATCTAAAATTTTGAATCTTTATATTTACTTAGTTAACAGTTTAATCTTTGAATCATATACAAAATATCTCTAATATTAATTTATCTAAGGTAAAATATATATTTTCATGCATGCTTTCTAATGCAATTTAAAGGTAGAGTGTTACATAAATAAATCTAAAGATTTAAGTATCATATATATATATATATATAAAAGAATTTTTTTATATGTATATAAATCCCCAAATAAATTATAATATAATATGCTGATGTAATGGTATCTAAATATTGGCAATAAATGATAATAATTAAAAAATATACTTGATAATGATGATATATTATAGTTATAATTTTTTACTATAAATGTTGTATACTTAGAATAATATTTATGTCATAAATGATTTTAATTGAAAAAAATTAATGTTAACATATTTGATATAATTTTGATCATAATAAATATATACAATTATTAAATTTACTTTGAAAATTTCTATATGTTAGAAAATTTATATTATATTTATTTAAAAATAAATTTACTATCTTTCATTTTTTTTTTAATTTCTAAACAATTTTTTTTTCCGTGAATATTTCCTTTTCGGGCCCATCTCTAAGAACCCTATATATATAAGCCCTCCGACGACAAAGGACGGCGAGGCCTCGCCACCTGCGTGCTCACAGTGCTTACTGTCTACTTCCATTTTTCTTGTCTTTTCTCTAAAACCCTCTTCACGCAATGGAAGCTTCTCTACCTAAAAACCCCTCTAAAAGGCCAGCGGAGTCAGTCGATGATGACGAAGAGGGGTTCAAGCCGGACGCTAAGAAGCAGAAGAGATGCTTCACGGAATTCGAGCCCCGAAGGTTTCTCTTTATCTTCTTTGTCTTTCCTGTCTTCACTTGCTTGATCTTTTTTGTTCTCTTTTCGTCGCAGCTATCAGGTTATGGTGTTCGAAGTGGCAATGCGGAGGAACACCATCGCCGTTCTCGACACAGGCGCGGGGAAGACCATGATTGCGGTGATGATGATTAAGGAGATTGGGAAGGACCTTAGGTTGAAGGGGGATAGGGGCCTCATTGTCTTCCTTGCTCCTACTGTACATCTTGTCACTCAGGTTTTTTGCTTTTTGAGAACAAAATTGATTTTGTTATATTTGGCAAAAAGATGGGTTGTTTTTTTGTGTGGTTTTTGGCGAATTTGATATTGATTCAGTTATACTCTCATTGCTTTCTGTGGGCCTAGCAATATGAGGTGATAAAAGTTCATACCGATCTTAAAGCTGCTAGCTACTATGGGGAGAAGGGGATTGATCAGTGGGATGAGAAGGACTGGGAGAAAGAGATCTCTACTTACCAAGTATGTACGCCTCGTTGTATTTTGTATGAGGCATTTAGTTGACTGATTGATTACTGGAGTTGATTTAATTTCTTTGCGGTCTTTACCAAATTATTATTTTTTCTATAATTGATTATGTTTTTTTTTTTTGTTTTGTCTCTCTTGTGGGTGAATAAAGAGATTATTTTGATGGCTTGGTATATTGTTCTATGTTTTTTCAGAGTATTTGTACATTTGATTTATTTTTCATTTGGGCGATGTAAGAGTTTCCTTTCCATTTTCGTATTGATTTCTGCTCAATGGCTGTTTGATTGGATGCTTTTTAAAATGCATGAATGTTTGATATGCAGTGTAACAAAATGCATGCATCTTAGAAATGTAGATGTTGTTTGGTTTAGTGTAAATCAAATGCATTGAACAATTTTTTTGAATTCATTTCAAATACATTAAAATGTTTCTCTTTATTCTCTCTCTCTCTCTCACCCCCCCCCCCCCCCCCCCCCCTTTTTTTTTTTTCCCCGGGCTCCGGCCAGGTTCAGGAAAGGTGTATTGAAGGGCTTAGGGCGGAAGGTGACTTGAAGTGGTGGGGTTGAGTGTGGTGTGGAGGGCTTGTGGGATGATCATTTGTGACAAACGGTGCTTAGGGATGTCAGCTATGAAAAGATTACTTGGGGAAGGTCACTGGCATTAGAGACAAGGACGGGTGTGTGAGTTATTTGGAAAGAGCAAGATTAGTGTGATGAGGAGGGACTCGAGGAAGATTGAGGGTGACGAGCAGTTCGGGAGTGGTTGAGGACAATGGAAGCATGGGAGGTCTCCTAAGACAAGAACAAATCAATATAAGCTTTGCAAATTCCTAGTGATCTTGTTTGAATGAAAGTTAAGTAAATTTAGAAGTTACAAAAAAGTAACAAGAAAAGGGTAAAAGAACAGTACTTACAAAAATTAAGTTAACAAGAAAGCAAATAAAGCTAGCTAGGGGTGCCTAGCCACTCAAGGAACAATATTTATCTGTGGGCTAGTATGTGCTTATCAAGTGCTGTTAACTATTTTACATTCAATCAAATGGCCATATCATGTTAATTCTGTTTTACAGGTAATGGTGATGACACCTCAAATTTTATTAGATTCATTAAGAAAAGCTTTCTTACCAATGAATGTGGTGCGATTGATGGTGTTTGATGAGTGCCATCGCGCCACTGGTAACCATCCTTATACTAGGATAATGAAGGTATTTGCAGAAAGTTTTGATCTTTTACCTTTTTGTTAGACTTTATTCCCATAATGATCCTGATAATCTTCAGTATATCTAATATTGTACAGGAATTCTATCACAAGTCTCTACAAAGGCCAACAATTTTTGGAATGACAGCATCACCTATTATAGGAAAAGGCAAGCTTCAGTTAATCTACCCTAATTTCCAAATTGGTTTTTTTTCTTCTTTCTAGGTCCTTGCGTTCTCAATTTCAAATTTGATTTGTAGTTATCATATGCATTTATACATCATAATTAGATTCAATGTTCATATCAGGTGTTTCGTCAGTTATGGAATGTGAAGATAAGCTTTCTGAACTTGAAAGCATTTTAGATGCAAAGGTAAATTGTATCTTGAATTTTTTTCTTAAGCACTGAGTCAAACATTCAAATCAATTTTGCGGCCTCTAAATAAAAAATATGCATTGTATGTCTGATTAGAGTGCTTCTTATATCAGTTAGTTGATGGAATTTTCATGTAGCCGACCCGTGTAGTGGGATAAAAGCTTGACGTTGTTGCTAATGAAATTTTCATCTACAATCAATATATGCCGCTCTACTGCCTGAGCTTAAATTCATTGAGCTAAGTTATTCTTTTTTTACAGATATACACAGTTGCTGACAGGAGTGAAATGGATGTATATATTCCTTCTGCAACACAAGTTAATATATATTATGATCCCGAGTTGTTTATTCATCATTGTTTAAAAACGAAGCTGGAATTGTTATTGAAAAAGGTCTTAATTACCCCCTTAGTTGTATTCTTACTACTTTTCTCTAACTTTAGTTAAGAATATATGTGAAACAATTACTTCTTTTATCATTCCTCCATTGTAACAGTTTGATGCTGCTGTTATCTCTTTGAGTAGCTCTGTATTGCATCATTATAGTGACTCTGAAGATATTCTGAGAAGATCCAGAATGAGATTGTCCAGATGGCATGCAAAATTTTGTTATTGCCTGGATGAACTTGGATTGGTTTGTGCCAGTGAGGTATTGCTTGTTTGTATCTGATGTCATTGCCTTCATATTAACCATATCACTAGGTTTACACAACTTTAAAAAAAACATGGAAGCCTACATAATGACCTATATTCAGCAATTTTGCTAGTTATAAAATTAGTAGCTATTGCTGAAAGCATAACGGTTTTACAATTGGTACACTTTTCAACAAATGTTTGTGTGTAACAGAAAATATCTTAGTTATTTATAAATTCCCCTGCAACAGGCTACTAAAATATGTTCAGAGAAAATCCTTCGTCCATATTCTGCAGACTCCAAGGATTTTGCTGCAGAGTGTTTGGAAAGATGCAAATCCTTTGTTGAGCAGTCTAGGAATTTATTTAACGAAAGTTTACCTGAAGGTATAATCTTATCCTCTTCTATCTTGTTTTCTCTTGATACTCCTTATATCTTTTCTAATTAATGATGGTTTAAATGGTTTTACTTCTGGTTTTACCTGACGGCTTCTCCTTTCATTTCATATTCATATCAACCACCCTTGCTATTTAGTACAAGCATATTGAATTATGCTCCAGAAAGCTTTATGATTTTCTTAATATATCTATTGAATTATATATTTGTGATGCCTTTCTGACCTGCTTATGCTTTTAATAATATCATGACTGAATATTCTTTGATTCCTAACAATTTGCATTTTTGCATCAACTCAAAAGGAAAATATTTCAACTCACTGTTCTGGACGCCAATATTTTATCTAGCTTAAAGTAAAATATTTCTACTCACTCTCAGATTCTTCTGCAAGCATGCAAAATAAATGCATGAATTTAGGGAGACCCATTTGATTGAATGAGCGCATGTGCATTTGGGTGCATGAAATACTTGCCAGTTAACTAATGCACATTGATGAACAAAATTGCAGATCTAGATGTTTGTGTTTGTGTTTTGGGATATGATACTTGAGAAATCTCTTAACATTTTTTCTTATGAGCTTAATACTGAGGTTTAACATTCTATGCCTGTTATTCTATTGTTAATCAAAATATATGATTATACCTTATTATGCTTTCAGGTTATGACATTCTTCTAAAATCTGGAACTTGCCGTCCAGAAGCCAAGGAATTGGGTTATATGTCTTCCAAGTTGAGCGAGCTGATGTGTATTTTTCAATCATTTGAGTAAGGGGATGGCTGCCATTTTCTTTTTAAATTGAAAAGAAAAAATAACATATTTTTGAAATTTTAATTTCAGCACTTCCAGAGAAGTTCGCTGCCTTGTATTTGTTGAAAGAAAAATTACAGCTAAAGTGATAGGGTGCATGATTGAGAAAATTAATATTTTATCAAATTTGAAAGTTTCTTATTTGACTGGAGGAGGTTCTTCAGTAGATGCATTAACACAAAAAACTCAAAAGGATACCTTGGACTTATTTCGTCGTGGAAAGGTATCTTTGATGTTAATGTTGCTTTTAAATTATGAATCTTATAATATTTTACCGAAGAGCTGAATATTACTTTGTAGGTGAATATATTGTTCACTACTGATGTAGCTGAAGAGGGGCTTCATATACCAGAATGTTCATGTGTCATTCGTTTTGACTTGCCAAAAACAGTTCGTAGCTACGTTCAGTCGAGGGGGAGAGCTCGCCAATTTGGTTCCCAATACATTATTATGCTTGAACGGTAGTGATCTTTCTTGTTTGTTAACTTTTGCATATTGAGTATCTTGTATATTTTCTCTGGCATATTTAGAAAGTTAATTCCCTTCTTATGTTAAAGTCCACATGACACTGATATGTAATTTCCAAGAAATTTAATTATGGATTTAAAAGAGTGAGTTGTTGTGGTTTTCAACGAATATCTGATAGATCTTTGTTAGAAGGTTTATTACAGATTTAAATTTTATCTGTTGGAAAAATTGTTTACAAGAATAGAGTTTAGTTTTGTTAGAGAGTGTGATTGTAGGTGGGCCAAATTTGGGTCTCATACACCAGTGGTCAATTTTTTTTTTAGTTTGAAAGCTTAAGTCTATGGATGAGGATTGATTATTAGTAAGTACATCAACATAATTTTCATATCTCTGATATGAGGCTAAATCCAATACTATCATGCGACTTTGCAATCTCCTCCATATGTGAGAGCTCTCCATATCGTCCCTCACTCCCTCTCAACAAACCAAGCTGAGTAACATTCACCACTATAACGGCTCAACTTTTTGCTCATCTCGGCGGCCATGTGTTAGGACTTGAAGAAGGCACTTCTATTGGTTAGGCTAGGTCAATCGATCAATCAATATAACTTAAAGTTACTCTGCGAAGTAACTCAAATATCTAAGCAATGAAGAATTTGAATCCATGTTCAGTTGGGCCTATAAAACTGTTAACTTGCTAGAGTCCATTGACTAGAATTGCCTAAGTCATTGAGTGTATTGCCTAGATTGATTCTCATTACATGTGTTTTAATTCTATGTTGGCATTGCAACAATTGGTTCTACCTTTCTCGGCATATCAGCTGTGATGTGACTACTCCTGGAATGATGTGCCAACTATGCCCCAAACCTTTCACCCATTTCCGTAATGACTCTTTGCTATGAATCAACATCACTCTCTAGAATAACTGCATACCATAAAGTTTGTCGTATAATTCATACAATGTGAAGTCAACCTCTATTTTGCTCGACTTATGTCCCACTATTTTTATTTTTGTTGAAGTTGGTTGACACATGCCTTCACATTGCAATCATCAAATAGATCCTCTCCAATCCATCGAATGCATATAAATACCCCTTTCTTAGACAACCAATATCAGGTAAGAGATCAAGCTTTTAGCATAGACTATGTGAATTATAATTTGAGAGTAATTGTAGGGCAAAACTTTTCTCTGTATTGTTGGTGAGTTAAGAAAAAAGTGACTTAGTGGAAATTAGTATATTCTTTTCTTTTTTATATTAAAGCTTCTTGCATTCTCCCGTATAGTGGGCGTAGGTCTATTGACCGTGCCAGTATAAACCCAAGTGTGTTCTATCTTTTTTTTTTTCATTTTATGTCTCCCTCTTCCTAAGTATTTTCTTTTTTTTAATGGATGCCTTTCTCTTTTTTTTTTAAGGAAGTAAATTGACCCATTAACTCAATGCTCCTCATTCTCTCTTTCCTTACTTTTCATTCTGAACCAATCGAAAGTCCACTCTTGCATGTCGGGTGATCCACCTGATGATCTTTTGATCATTCACATCTTTTGGTTCTCTTATTAAGTGTCTTCTCTCTTCCATTAGGAAGTAAATCAATTCAACAAGTCAACCCTATCCTCAACTCTCTCTCTCTCCCCTAGCCATTGTGAACCAGTCGAAAGTCCATCTATACATGCTGGTTGATCCATCTCGAGATCTTTTGATTGCTCAAATTTTATGATGCAATCATTGAAAAAATATTGGGTCAATGAAAACTTAATAAAGTATCATTCGTCATAATTATACTAGCCATCATCATTACCTACCTATGCTTCTCGGTGGTAGTGATGGCGAAGGAATGCTTCATCTCAGTGTCTCATTTCTTGGAGCTTTCATGCATAATCAACTTTTTCATCCAAGGAATGCTTTTCCTTGCTCCATGAATTTTCCTTACTACTAGAGCCTATTTGGCTCCCATTTATCTAACTGCGGGTTGAGTGCCTTGATCCTTATGTCATCCTTCATTCCATCAACACTCGTCATGATATAAGTTCTAACCAACTATTGTCCTGCTGCATTGGTCATCACCATACGTCATGTCAATCTCATCCCTCTACTCAACGACAATTGGGTGAAGTGGCTTGTAGAGGAGTCTTCAAAACATTCTTTTCATGGTTAATTTAACAATTGATATGTAGCCTTTATCTTAGGAAATTTTGTGGAAGCATTTGTCTTTAAAATATTTTATTTATATTTACTTATTGGAGGAGGATAGCGATGTCGAGGAGGTGCCAGTGCCAAGGGTCGGGAGCGCCTCACCTGTCACAACCCGACCCGGCTAGCCCGAGTTAACGGGGCGGGAGCAAAAGGTCGTACGGAAAACTATAATAAAACATAAACAGTTCTAATTAAAAACTTTAATTAGACAACATAATCATCATCCAGTCTAAGAAAGAGCTACTAACAACAATAAACTCAGATAGTTCCAAACAGTTCAATTATCTCAAGACCACTAAAAACTTTCAACACATCATTACATAAACTCCATTTACTATTCATACTCAGATACAAACTCAAACTTAGACTTAAAACATAAAAACAAATGGAACATTTCTTCCTCCTGAGGTCCCCTACGACGATAAGTGTAAGGTCGTCGTGCAGCCATTACTTCTCTCCTGAAAACATTTCCAAAACGAGGAATGAGCCAACGCTCAGCAGGTAATTCATAGCACAGTTAATTTCATAAGATGCATAAATTAAAAACATTTACAATTAGAAACTAATTCATTTAATTAGACAAGTCATAACATAAAATGTCATTTTTCTTTTTCATAAACATTGCTATCCTTTCATTCTTTTCTTTACTCTTTTTCATATGCAATGCAAAGTGCAAAATGATTATGCTAAATATATCACCCGTACCGGAAGTACCCCTTTTTCGTACTGATCAGGAACGTAGTCAAATTTTTTGGCCATTTTCTTTACCATTTGGCTTTTACAAGCCTCATTACCATTTTGGCTTTTGTAAGCCCCTTTACCATTACCATTTTGGTACTTCCGGATCAACATGTAACATGAAAATTTTATTCCATTTAAATCTTTCCATTTCCTTTCATATTTATTTCATTTATTCATATACATTAATTTCTTTTCAAGAATGCATGAAATGTAAGCATGAAACTGTAGGGTACTTTAAAGCATGAATATCAAAACATTTGACAGTAAATAAAATATTTGACAAGACAAGAAAATAATTATATGAAATTGCATTCTAAGCATAAAAATTTTAAAGCACTTATAAATTTAACTGGGTTCTGAACACCTACCTCAAAGAAAATACGGTACGTCACTTCGACAAAGTCTTTCACTTCACACCTTAATGATCACCACCTAAAAGTTTATAAAGTAAACGTGTCACATCAATAGAAATCAACTTTCCTAAGTCTAATTGTCAAACCCGGCATTTTCTCTTAACCATTCCTTACGACATTTAAAGGATAATTAATTAAATTAATATGAATTTTCGGATTTAATAAATACCTAATTTTCAAAAATCTATAAACCTTCAATTTCATCAAATCATTGTTTCAAAATTGGTCCTTAACATATATTAATAACTATATAATAATTTTCGGATTAAAATAATCAAAATAATTCATGAAAATTAAAAATTTACTAAAACCCTAATTTTTCTTCATTTAAGCATTTCTAATAAACTTAGGATCAACATTAGTAAAGGGAAATTCTAAAATTTCAAAATCTAAGAAAAACCCTCATTTTTAAATCTCCAAAATCTCTATGTTTTTATTGCCAAAACAATCCTCTAAACATTCCTTAAAGATTTTGCAAAGAGATTTCGAAGAAATTCTAAAATTCTATAAAACCCTAGAATTTTCTTTTCCAAAAATCTAGAGATCGGGAAAGTTTCATTTGAAAATAATTATACCATAGTGTTCCTCTCGTCGTCCTCTTCGTTTTGACTTAAAAGTTTCGCCGGAAGATCGTCGCCGGAAAGCCCTCGCCGAAGCACGCCGTCCGCCCTAGTCCGCTCGTTCCGCTCGGTTCGGTCCTTCACGCGTGAAAATGAGATGGGAGAGGGGTTTCGGTTTGCCAATTAAGGGAGAAAGGGTTTGCAAATGTCCATAATGCCTTTGCTTAAGTAATTTCGTCTTAAGAAACAAGTGAGGGTAAAATGGGTATTTTGAAACTTCGTTAAATTTTAACTCCTAAAATAGGCTAAATTAGGTAAGGGTTATTTATATCAAAATGATCAGAATTTTGCGTAGGATTTTCTAAAATTATTTTCGTTGAATTCCGTTAACGTTGAAAATCTTACTTAAAAATTCGTCGCGGCGCTTTGAAAAACGTGCGATGCCCTAAAATAGTAATTTCGGGTTTTACATCACCAACATTTCCATCCTCATCCTCTTGATCTGAAGAATGATTTGAAAGAAGAAGAGTTGAAGGAAGAGATAGAGGACGAGGATGGAGATGCTGATGAGGAGGTAAATATTTTACATTTTTTTTTCCTAGCAAGCAGGATTTCTAGGTTTTTTTCTGATTTGATCACTTTCTTCTATATCGTGATGAGCAAGTAACATTTTTTTTTAAATTTAACGAAAGAGATTACTGTTTTCAATTATAAATGACAGCGGTATATATGCGCTTCTCTGTATATAAGATTTTTTTTTTGCATATATGTTTGTTTATGGGTTAGTGATTGCAATTTTAGATGGTTTTAATTTGTCAAATTTTTGTTCATTTTGATGCTTGGGTATTTTTATTATTTTTTGTATGATTTTTTAATTAAACTTATTCTAACTTTGGTGAGAATTGTATGTTAGGAATAAGTTTAATTTAAAAATAATAAAAATACCCCGGCATCAAAATCTACAAAAAATTGACAAATTAAAACCATCTAAAATTGCAATCGCTAACACATAAACAAACATATATGCAAAAAAAAAAATCTATACAGAGAACTGCATATATATTGCATTCATTTATAATTGAAAACTGTAATCTCCTTCATTAAATTTAAAGAAGATGTGTTACTTACCACGATATAGAAGAAAGTGACCAGATCTGAAAAACTCTAGAAATCCTGCTTGCTAGAAATAAAAAGTAGAAGTAAAATATTTACCTCCTCATCAACATCTCCATTCTCATCCTTTATCTCTTCTTTCACCTCTTCTTCTTTCAAATCATTCTTCAGATCAAGAGAATGAGGATGGAGAAACTGGTGAGGCGCTCCCAACCCTTGGCACTGGAACCTCCTCCACATCACTATCCTAGCTCCTCATCCTCTTCATCAACATCATCTCCCTCCAACGCCTCATCAACATCTCCATCCTCGTCCTCTATCTCTTCCTTCACTTGTTCTTCTTTCAAATCATTCAATAATCACATGATGAGCAACACTAAACAGAGCGAACATTCCAACTACATTGTACTCAAAAGGTAAGATGTATTATTTGCTTACACAGTAATTGCATAAAGACAAGTTTATTTATTCATAATAATATTTCTTCAAGTTCTAGTTTTAATTGAGGTGCATATATATATATTCTTTGATTACAAGTGCTAAAGGAATAGTTCTCTTGTTTAGTCAGAAATCCTTGCATTTTTTCTTGATTTTTATTTTGTTGTTCTTTCTCCGACATTATAGTAGTGATTCTCACTCTCTAAGATGTAACTTAATATTTTTATGTCTGCAGGGGAAATATTCAACAAAGGAACCTGTTATTTGACATTATGAGGAGTAGGCATTCAATGATGGATGCTGCTCTTAGTCGAGATCAAGATGCTTTGATTCCAAAAACATTCAGCTGCGAAGAAATAAATACATATCGCGTTGATTCAACTGGAGCATCTGTGACTGCTGATGCAAGTGTTAGCCTTATCTATAAATACTGTGACAAGCTGCCCAGAGACAAGTAGGGCAATATTATCCCTAGTAGCTTTAATTGTTCATATTTTCCTTTTAACATTTTTATCCTTGGTAGCTTTAATTGATCATGTCTTCCTTCTAGACTAATGTTTCCTCCATAATACTTTGTTGTTCTATTGTAATCTATTACTATGGTAACAAGTCAACATCCCCTTGTTGTAGATATTTCACTCCGCGGCCGGCTTTCCAATTTGATGTTTGCAGTGGGGCTTATGAGTGTACGATTACTTTACCAGCCAATGCTGCATTTCGGTCCTTAGCTGGTCCTTTCTGTAAAAATTCTCATCTAGCGAAGCAACAGGCTTGTTTGGAGGCTTGTAAGCGACTGCATCAACTTGGTGTTTTAGATGATCATCTTAATCCTATAATTGTAGAGCCATTGGAATCTGAGGTTGATGAAAAAACAAAACAAAATACCAATGGTATAGGTATTAATACTATCCTCCTTTTTATGCTTGTATTAAAAACTAGCCTGCTAGTTTTTATCTGTATCTTTGGTGCAAAAATTGAGATTGACTTGCACTCCTGTTTGAAGGAACAACGAAGAGAAAAGAACTCCATGGAACAACCATTGTCCATGCGATATCAGGAACTTGGGCGTACCAGAAGACTGGTACTGTCACTTTACAAGGATACAAGATAAAGTTTGTGTGCAATAACATAAACTACAAATATTCTGGATTCATTTTGTTGCTTGATACTGTTCTTGATGAAGATGTTGGCTGTTTGGATATGGATCTTTATTTGATTGATAAGACGGTGAAAGCCTCCATTTCCCCATGCGGACCTATTCAGCTGGATATTCAGCAGGTCTCTCTTATTAATGAAAAAAATTCCTAGTTTACTCGATAGCATTTGTCCAGAAACCATATTTCGATAATTTACTTATGGTTGTGTTAATTTAATCTCAGATGGAGCGAGCAAAACTATTCCAAGAACTATTTTTTAATGGCTTGTTTGGCAAATTATTTAAAGGATCAAAATCTCGTGGACAGAAGAGGGAGTTTCTGCTAAAAAGCGAGAGCAAATCGATGTGGAGCAGTTCCAAGATGTACATGCTTTTACCACTTAAAACTTCAGGCCAACAACATCATGATGAAGCACATATAAATTGGGATGGAATTGATGCTACTTTTTCTGTGGTGGAATTCATGTCAATGATTTACTCATCAGGAGCAGAAAGTGATCAACTGTGGAAAAATCTAGTTCCATTTGTTTCAAGTAATGTTTCTGATGAGTCTAGTATCATCCACCTTGCTGATAAGCTTGTGCAGGTTCAAAGTGTTAAAGACTTGGTAGTTATGGCGGTTCACACTGGCAAACTCTATACTGTTCTTGATGTTGTAACTGGTTCATCCGCTGATAGTTCGTTTGATGCACCCGAATTTGCTACATTTAAAGACTACTTTAGCAAGAAGTAAGCAAGGATTTAATAAGAATTTTCATTTTATTAATGTGTTTATGAAGAATATTTTTGCACTCAATGAGGGCACATGTGTTAACATGCATTTTTCCTTCTTTCATGCTAGACGCCTAGTTTTATGCGGATTTAATTGAGTGACTGAGCGCTTCTTGGTAGGATGGTTACTATGTGTGATCGCTGCTTATCAGATTTATGTCAATTGAATTCATTTTCCTTTTTGTGGATTAGGTATGGAATTGTGCTTCAGCTTCCGGGGCAACCATTGCTGCTTTTGAAGCATAGTCATAATCCTTACAACCTTCTGTCTTCTTCCAGCCATATTGAAGGTTTGATTTTCTTTGTAAAATATTGTTGCATTTCATGTCTCATTTTTTAGTTTTCTTGTTTAATATGATGTGGCATATTTTTCGTATGTAATGTTAATGATTCTAAGAAATGTTTAACGTTAGGAATGTTTAGAATATCTACCTAAAACTTTGTTTATCTCAAAAACTATTAAGAATATTGAGCATGAAAAATCATCTTTTTTATATTAAGATATTATTTGATGCATGGGATTTTAGAGGAGCAGTCGTTTATAGTGAATCTTATTCATAAGGCTCCTAGTGCAATATTTTGAGGTACAAAAAAAAAAAAAAAAAACTAGTGCAATATTTTGAAAAAAAAAAAAAAAAAAAAAAACATACAATTCTCACCAAATACAGAATGGTTTTTTATTTGATATTTTTCAATAATAGCACTTCACCTCGAATTGAAGCATATTGTTGACCACTAACCACCAATCCACTTCCCCCACTACCCACAATCTCATAACCTCCCCCACTGCCTGATCTTATAACCTCCCCCACTCACGTAACTCTCTCACATGGCAGTAGTCAAAACCTAACTCCGCACCTCTCAATTTACACTGAGCCACATACAGGAACCCCGAGATCCTCTCTCTTGCTTGATCTCTCATTCTCTCCCAAGTTCTCTGTTCGTTTGCAGGAACCGCATGCAAGAGCCGCTCGACCTGTGTCCCATCTCTGACCCCCACTCTCGTTTCTTTGAATCCAATGTCCACATCTCCAAATCCAGGCGCCTATGCGATCTCATCCCATATCGCTCTCATACGTTTGTCCAAATCCAGGTCCACGCAAGTGACCTGCTTCAACATCTTCGACCTCAAACCTACGCCCGCGCCCACTCCTACTCCAACCCGAAACTTGTGCCCTCATCTTCTTCCATGACTCCAACCCAACCCGTTCTCTCTCACACGACACAGTAGCTGCACGTAGTAACTAGGCCAACCCCAACCGATCTCTCGATCCCCCATCCACTCGAGCTCTTGACCACCTACAAGCTCCCCTACACTGCTCGTTAGAACAAGCCGCTCAACCCATCACCGTTGTCATCACTTTTGCTACAATAAATTTTATAACTTCATTTGTTTCGTGCTTAAATAACAGGTACAAAAAGAAACCATGCCCGTTGTATCTTTGATCCGGCTGGGAGAAGAACGAGAAGACATGAAGACCTGCGTTCGTTGTATATTTGATCCGAGTAGGATAAATAAATTATACGAAAACCCCACGTCTGTCATATGTTTGATACGACCAGGATAAACAAAGGCAAGTGCCTACTAGACACTCCCTAAATGGGGGGGTGGGACGCCGAGAGATTGTCGAAATTTTAAACAATAGTGGATATTCATATAATTAAATTAAAAAATAAAATTTTGAAAAAAAAAACAATAAAATCATATATGTATGTAATTATGAGCCTGAGGAATAAACATTAACTGGACTACAATATCAATCAATATTTTGAACTCAAATTAATTGATTATGGTAGAGACTAAACTAACATCATAAAAATATTATTATAATATGTCAGCAAATTGTTATAAAAAAAAAACATATTGAGTGGAAATATAACATGAATTAACCTCATAATAGCTTATCCTCTTTTAAGGAGCTCCTCATTGAGCTTTTCCAAGATGAATTTTAGCGCTAATCAATTCTTTGTATTGTAATCATGATCATTATGATATAAACAGAAATTACTTTAGTCCAGGCCTTAAGATGATTTCTTCATTAACGCAAGTAACCTTAAGTATTCTCAAATTGGAATCAAGGCCATGATAATAGAAATTGACTGATTAAAGGGAGGTAGAATAACTTCAAAACACGTTAAAGTAGGCAAGACAAACCATTATCTTTGATGATCATTATTCTCTTTTTGAATACATCTCTCCAATCGAACAAGTCAATTATTTATTGCCTCTTGTAGCACCGAGAAGAGTATGAATTCACTTTATTTATGAATGCAAGCTATTTTATATGCGCATCGAAATGTTTATTTGATTAGTATGTCATTCAATTAAAAGTCTCATCTTTAAACTCAATAAACTGGCCATTAATCAGCTCAATAAGAGGTTCATTTGGTTAGCTAACAAGCCAATCAATAGTTTTGCTTGTTCATACACTTGATAAAGCTCATTTAATCAACTACTAAGTTGTTTGGTAGTATTGTTGATTACTAGGTTAAATATGGCTCATTCTGTTGATAACAAGCTGCTCGATATTAATATTATGCAAGAATAACGGTCAAAGTTTACTTATAGAAGATCCATAAGCAAATGTAAAATACATTGTACAAATGTAATGAGAATGCGAAAGACATTATGTAAGTTTAATGGAAGTGTAAAATACATTATGCAAGTTCTGCATGTGTTACGATCTTTACATCAAGCTCTTGAATGCGAGATCCGATAATGGCTTCGTGGATTTATTAAAAGTGCTTAAACACCTTGATGATAGTCATTGACATGAAATTTTAACCTGAGAGAGCTATTTAGTTTTCAAAATGCCTTCAAAATTTTAAAATCTACCATTCAAAGCTGTATTCAAATCTTACTAAAATTTTAAATTTTTAAAATGAGATTCGTTATAAAAAACTTAAAACTAAAATCCATTCACACTCCGCAATGGTTTGGCGAGAATGATGAATTGAAGATTAACTTTAGCTCACAAAGAGAAGACGTCATGCGGAATGTATTACTACAATTCATTCTCAATTGATTTCTTATCAGCAGGCACGAGGCGTGTGCCCTTTGACTTGGTGGGTTTTCCGCAAAATGGTACCACTATATTAGGGTCATGGTCAAAGCCCGTATGTTCCCTGTTGGTTAAAAAACTATTGAGTAATAAATTATAGGGTGCACTCGATGAGGTATAAAGCGCTCTGTTAGCTAAGTTTGACTTAAGTTCACCCTTTTAGACAAACATTCACTCTAGATCTACAAGGTATCTTTGGACAAAGCAACCCATACTGTCGACAAGGTTCCTTCTGTCAGGTTGGGTTGACTAACTCCTCTGACTGAGTAAACCAGAGACTATGATAGCCTGCGATGATGTAACCAGAGGATCGTGATTGGGCCCATCATCATTCCCCCATCACTCGCTTTAAGTATACAGTGATAAATTTCAAATCATAAAGTCCAAAATCTAAAACTAAATTCAAATTCTAAAATCACTGCTATTATATGCTAGATAATTATTGCAACCTATTTAACAGGTAGTCTTAATGGAAAGTTATCTCTTATTATCGAGAAATGTAATTAACCATAGGGACTTGCGCCAATAGGAAATAAGAACTCAGATCATAAAGTCCTCGCAAAATGAGGGCAAAATCTCTGGGTAGCGTCTTATCTAAAGCCTAATGTCTTCTGAAAGTTTACCTCAGAACCTAAATTCGTTAAAACTATTCCCATTAATAAAGAGGCGTGGAGAGGCCGGGGCGAATTTTTAGTGCCCCACACCTACTTTAAGTATATAGTGATAAATTTCAAATCATAAAATTCAAAACTAAATTCAAACTCTAAAATCACAGTTATTATATGTTAGGTAATTATTGCAACCTATTTAACGAGTAGTTTTAATCGAAAGTTTTCTTTCATTATTGAGAAAGGTAATTAATCATAGGGACTTGCGCCTATAGGAAACCATAACTTAGATCATAAAGTCCTCGTAAAATGAGGGTAATATCTCTAGGTAGTGTCTTATCTATCAAATCTAATCCGTCTTTTGAAAGTTTACCCTAGAACTTAAATCCGTTAAAACTCTCCGTGTTAAGGAGAGGGCGGGGCGCAAATTCCCTAAACCCTAATCTTCCTAGAAAATATAGTGTCTTAGAGAACATTTACCCAAATAATTTCACATGCAGAATGAGCTGTTGCTCTGTATTTAGCGTCAACCGGATCTAGCCACAACTATTTGCTATTTTGCTGCTTATTTTTCATGATGACATGTTGCCTAAACAAAAATACAATATCTTGAAGTTGACTTCATATTTTTAACTAACCAACATAATATATATCTAGGAATGTTTTGACATTCATGTGCTTAGTCTTAGTGTATAATAACCTTATTTTACGAGACATTTGAATACTTGAGAATGTGCAAATCTCATTATTCTTCAGTTATGGATTTTGCTTGTATCGGATCACAATTCCTTTGATGAATGAAATATCAATTGTTGCTTAATTATTTATACATAAATGACCAATGACCATCAATTCCATCCTAGTTTATGTGTGCTTTGTCATGATGTTGTTGGCCTGAAGTTTTAAGTGGTAAAAGCATGTACATATTGGAATTGCTCCTCATCGATCTGCTATTGTTTTTTTTTTGGCAGAAACTCTCTTCTATGCCCACAAAATATTGATGTAGGACTAAATGCGTATGTTGTTGCATTTGAAATTATATGCCATTGAAAGAGCAAGAGCAATTAGTCAATCTTTCTTGATTTAAACGGTGATTGAAAACAATAAAGTAATGATTTAGATCAAGCAATAGATTACACAACAAAGATTTAGAATACAAAAATAATCAATCAATTCAGATTTTTCATAATGCGGGGCTTTCGATATAAATTTCCTAAATTAATATTTAGAATAGTCACTATGAAAAATCTCTCACTCAACTCTTTAATGATAGGTGAAAATGGAGAAAACCTACATAACCTTTATGACGCTACAATGAAGGGAAAATTTAGAAGAGAAAAGACTTGGAGGATAGTTTACCTTTGTCAGGATTCAGAAGCAAGTCGCCACTAAATGGGAGGGTGTTGTTGGTCGATATTGGTGACGAAGGAGAAGAGGATCCTCTCTATGTTGTCTTCAATGGATTGATCGTTCTCAAAGTTGATGTCGAAGAACGAAGGCTCGGAGGGTATCAATCAGCCCTTGATCATTGAAAACAAAGCTGTGATCTTGTTCTGGTTCAGCTATACATGAGTAGACATCAGACTAAGAGTTGTGGGAAATTATGGACGACAAACGGAGTCTTTCCAGACAGCAGGACAGCAAGGAGGCCTTGCTGAAATTTCTGGACCGTAGTGGAAAACCTTGGAGAGATGGTAATAGTAGAAAGTAGGAGAAGATTAGGAGTAATTAAGGTGGAGAGAGGAGGGGAAGGGGCTGACCATATGGAAGAGGGAAGGGAATTCTATTTCCAAATTTGGGAAGTTATTTAAGGAAGGAAAGTGATCCAAAAATCTAAATTTTAATTTCAGATTTAATGGTAGAGGTAATTGGGAAAATTTGAAATTCAAATTCCCAAATTCCAAACAAAGGGGGAAAGGAGGGAGGGGCCGGAAGCTATGAGAGGAGGGGTGGATTTAGGGAGCTTTGATTGCTTGCCAATTCAAGCAACCTAAGTTACGAAAGAGATTCAAGTCAAATATCTCTCAAATTTGATATTTAATTTCAAATAGATTTGATTGGAGGAGTTTCCAAAATAGTTCCTCATAATTAAGAAAGGGGTTTCAGATCTTAAATAGATTAAAATCTGATTTGAAAACCTTCCTAATTTAAGATGCGCTAATTATGGAAAGTGACAATTAGGATTTGAAATTTGGGGGCAAAGGGAGAGGTGTGGCCCAATGGCTAGGAGAGGATTAGGATTAGGGCCGGTGGCTAGGATTAGGATTTGATATTTGGGCTAGTGGCTATGGGGAGGGGAAGGGCCTTTGTTGCCAACGGCTAAGGGGATGGAGGGACCTTGGGCCGACGGCTAGGAGGGTGGAGGGTGGAGGCCGACGGTTTGGAGGAAAAGAGAGGGAGGCCGGTGGTTTGTGGAGAAGAAGGGGGATCTTGATAGAGGAGGTGGACCACTAATCCAGACCCTTCCTGTGGTTGGTGGGTAGTACGTCGCCCTCACCTAGGGACTTCATACTCTCACAAGAGCTCTCAAACTCACAAAAACACAAGTGCATGAATTTCTCATAATAATTATTAATTATCCTCTCCAAAGAAGAGGAGTTATAAATAGCCAAGTTACAATAGAAAATCCAAAAGACAAAAGTGCCCCTAAGGATCACAAACAACTAGTCCCTCAAGTGAGGGTAAAAACGGAAAAATATGATAATAAATCAAATACACATATAATAATAAACCTAATACAAAAAATAACTCAAAAATAAAGTGGTGTGATCGTGGCCATAGATTGTCGGCCCCTTCTCTGGTAGATTTTTCATGTTCGGATGTCCTCATCAATTGATCTTCTAAATAATTTGCCAACTAAACCATTTAAAAATAGTTCTCGGAGTAGTTTTTCTAAAAGTAGTTCTAAATAATTTGCCAACAAATATTTCAAAAAGCTAAGCCTTGGCTAAACCTTGGGAATCTTAATGTCATAATGCCTTACAAATGTAGAAATACTTGATAACATTTGTTGCTGGATAATACTTTTGTATGTATATGAATTTTTGAAGGTAGCAATCCCCCAAATATATTGGGGGATTGCTACCTTGTTGGATTTGCATTCTTGGATATGGTTTCTGGACAAATGTTATCAAGTAAACTTTGAATTTTTCATTAATAAGGGAGACCTGCTCAATAACCTGCTGAATACATTCACCAGAGGAAATGGAGACTTTCACTGTCTTATCAATCAAATAAAGATTCATATCCAAACACCAAATTTCATCAAGAATGTCATCAAGCAACAAAATGAATACATAATAATTGTAATTTATGTGATTGCAAACAAACTTTTTAATGTGATAACATGGGTCATATGGTGCCTAGGTTCTTGACATTACATGTACATTGGTTGTTGGGGGGATTTCATGTTTCTTCGTTATTCCTTCAAGCAGCAGTGGAAGTCAATCTCATTGAAGTTTTGATTTTCTTAGTAAAATATTATCTTATTGTTGCATTTCATGTTTCATTTTTTATTCAGCTTTCTTGTTTTTTTATTGTGGCATTTTTTTATATATTGATAATGATTTTAAAAAATCATTAAATGATAGGAATCTTTAAGATGCATACCAATAACTTAGGTTACCCAAAAACTATTAAGAACATTGATCATGAAATTTATTTATTTTTAATATTTAGGTATACACTAAAAAGAATTAATTAGAAAATATTAGAAATGACCTTTCTTTATTAGATTTGAATGAGAATTTGACTTTTAACCGGACACAACAGAAAAAAAGGATTCATGTAGCCGGGCCGACCCCACAGTGGGATAAATGCTTGATGTTGTTGTTGTTGTAAGGTTTAAACTAGGATGTTTTGAAGAGGAAGTTAATTTTAATGATTATTTTTTTAATATTAAGGTATACACTAGGATGTTTGAGGAGGAAGTTAATTTTGATGATCTTATTCATAAGGCTCCCTTCTTATACGAATGAGTATAATTTTCTAAGATAAATGTACAACACTCACTAAATATGGAGTACTTTTTAATTTGTATTTTTTTATGATAGCACTCCCCCTGAAATTGAAGCATATATATATATATATATCTTTAGCTTGTTTTATAATTAAGAGAAAGATGGAGAACTTGGAGCTTTTGTATTTATACCAATTATTTTAAAATGGAGACATGCAATGTGATATTCTTAGTAGAAAAAGACAACATCTTCACTGATATTACATTCAATCATAATGTGTTTGATTCTTCATTGAACATGGTTGTTGGCAATGTGGATAGCAGCATTATTACAACAACAACTACATCGTCTTTATCCTATTATGTGAGGTCGACAAATAGTGACATGATTTCTTAGTACAAAATTGTAGGTTGAGTAATTGGAAAACTAAATACGCTTAGGAGCAAATCATTTCACACGTAGAATGAGTTTTAGCTCTGTGTTCAACTTCAAAATTAAATGGGCACAACGATTTTTTTCCTTGCAATGAACACAATTAGAATATATTATCTAGTTGACTGCATGTCTTCAATCGTGCAGCATAGTCAACATCTGAAAAATGCTTTTACAGTACCTGAAAATTAATTTTTATTTTTTCATGTATTTAAAACCTTGCCTGTTTTACTAATTGTTTTTTTCTTAGCAACCCCCCTCATTCGCTTTTGTTTTTGAACAGGAGGCTTAACTACTAAAAAGACAAAGTTTAGAAATAACAGTGCAACTAAGTCACAAAATCATGTGCGAATGCCTCCAGAACTTCTGGTTCACATTGATGTTCCCTTGGATGTGATAAAATCTTTCTACTTATTACCTTCCTTGATGTATCGAATGGAATCCCTGATGTTAGCTAGCCAGTTAAGAAAGGAAATTGGTTACCATTCTGTTTGTTCTTCTGTATCAAGTGCTTTGGTATGCCATTTGTTTGCTGAAATGATTTTATGTACTGTTTAGTTATAAATTTAATTTATCAGTTATTTCATTGGAATCTAAAGCACTTTTTGGACAGATATTGGAGGCGATAACAACATTAAGATGCTGCGAGGACTTCTCCCTGGAGCGCCTTGAACTTCTAGGGGACTCTGTACTGAAATATGCGGTGAGCTGCCATCTTTTTCTAAAATTTCCCAAGAAACATGAAGGTCAATTATCTGCTCGCAGATCACAGTTAGTTTGTAATGCCACTCTTCATAAATTCGGAGTGCAACAAAATTTGCAGGTACGTTTCATCTTCTAAGATTCATACATACAAATGTTTTATGAAGATATATTGTATGTCTATATATACATAGTGATAGAGATTGGTCTATTTTGATTTTACATTTAAATGTCATTATGCCATCAAGACTAAAGCGTCGTTTGGGACAGATTTCTTACTGCTTCTTAAAGCAGTTTTCTAGTTAAAAAAATTAAATATTTTATACTAAAAAGTTGCTTTAGGAAGCAGTAAAAAAATCGTCCCAAACGAAGCCTAAATGGGAGAAAATATTTTATATTAGTGTATTTACAGTTCCTGGTGGTATGCTTGCAGATTTATTGGCTACTTGTAGTCCTTTCTAGTTTATTGAACTTTTGAAGTGTCTCTCCTTTACAGGGTTACATACGTGATGCTGCATTTGATCCACGCCACTGGGTTGTTCCTGGTCAAGTCTCTCTTCATCCTGTTCCATGTAAATGTGGAGTTGATACTCTAGAGGTGCCATTGGATGGGCAACATGTGTCCGAGGATAAATCTATTGTGATTGGGAAGGCTTGTGATAAAGGGCATAGGTGGATATGCTCCAAAACAATATCTGATTGCGCTGAAGCACTTATTGGTGCATACTATGTCGGAGGTGGACTTAGTGCCTCCCTTGCTGTGTTGAAATGGTTAGGTGTTGAAACTAGTCTGGAGCTGGAAATGGTGGAAGAAGCAATAAGGCCTCTCTCACTAAGGAACTATTTACCCAAACTTGATGAGATTGAAAATCTGGAAAAGAAGGTTGGGTATAAATTCAAAACAAAAGGCCTTTTACTGGAGGCCATGACTCATGCTTCCCAACTTGAATTAGGAGGTATCTGGTGCTATCAGCGGCTTGAATTTCTTGGCGACTCGGTGTTGGACATCCTGATTACATGGCTTCTCTTTCAGCGCCATACAGATATTGATCCCGGAGAGTTAACTGACTTGCGATCAGCATTGGTTAACAATGACCACTTTGCTCAAGTTGCAGTAAAGCATAAGCTTCAAGTGCATCTTCTACATGGTTCTGGATTGCTTTTAGAACAGATCACAGAATATGTAAAACTGTATGAGGAATCTAGAAAGGATGAGCATACATCTTGGCAAAATAGGCCACTGAAGGCTCCCAAGGTAAAGTTCTCGAGCATCTTCAGTTCATTTACTAGGGTTTTGTTTTGCTTTTTTTTTTTTTTTTTTTTTTTTTTTGTAAATCTGCTTGCAACAATTTTTTTTTTTTTGCTATTCAGGTTCTTGGAGACCTGGTTGAGAGTATTGCTGGTGCCATACTGATTGATACGAAGCTTGATCTTGATAAAATATGGGTTATCTTTGAACCCCTGTTTTCACCTATTGTAACACCTGCAAGTCTTGAGTTGCCCCCATTTCGGGAATTGTCAGAGTTATGTAGTCATTCTGGCTATTTCTTAAATGTGTCATGCATTGATGAGGAAGATATGGTGCTTGCTACACTTGATGTACAACTGAAGGATGTTTTGCTGGTCAGACGAGCACGCGATAAAAACAGAAAGTCTGCCAAGGGACAGGCAGCTCTTCTGTTACTGAAGGACATGGAGGTTTGCTTTCGTTGCATAGCTTTTATTGTTTAACATGCTACATTAATAAAAAGATGACAAAAAAAATCTAAATGTATCACTTTAAGCCGTTGCAAGTTCTGATCCTCTTTATGGTTATACTGTTGAAAAGCCTGGTTTTAAAGATTGTAGTGCTACTGGCCAACCCCCACCTTTTGCTCAAGTTTTGTGGGATAATTTTATGTTACAGGAAAGAGGATTCTTACATTCTCGACATGCTTCGAAGAGCGAAAAACATGAAGGACAAATTCTCAACTCAAAGCAGTCAGGAAGAGACTCTGTGTTAACAGAGCTTACACAGGTCACAGAGGATATGGATGTTGCACCACTGCTAAATGGCAATGGGCCCTGTCCACCAGGTATCTTGATTCATTAAAAAACTTATTTCAATAGTTTTTTTACATATTGTGTTTTGATTCATTAGTTAGATGGATCATTTGATCTTTTTGAAAGTGGTTTTCATTCATTCTTACTGTTTATGCATGTTACCGAGTTCTGCCAATATTAATAATGTTACTATTTAAAATTATCAAAGGGAGTGGGTAACTGTTGCTTAAAAAAAAAAGAGAGCTCAGCTAAAGATGATGCAGGGTACGTTCTTGAAGAATTTTGCACAAAAAGACTTTAGGGATAAGTTAATGCATCTTTACTCAAATTCATTTAGACTGTCATTTTGCTTCACTTCATTTTGACACCAATTTGATGGAGGATGTTTAAAGATCTAGGGTCACTAATGCGAACTATGATGAAATGCACAATGAGACACATAAAAGCTAAAATTCATAGATTACCAACTCTCAATTTTAACAAAGATTAGTCACCTTTGATCTAAAAATACATATTTATTTCATTTCAAACAATAACATAAGAATCAGCAAAATTTGAAATCCCAAAGTGAATATAAAATTCAGCTAGAAATAAGATTTTCTTGTATCATCACATAACAAAATTTCAACCAAGCTCGCACCAATCATTAAACTAGGTAACAATAAAAACAACAATAGAAGTCACTGGATGGAAGATCCAAAAACTCACCCCTGAATCTACACGCATAAGAATCGAGTTGAAACTGAAACTTTATTTCACTATTTAAGGTTCTAGCAATTTACATGCTTCAGGAATCAATATGTGTAAAAAACTGCAAATTCCAATTTAGCACACTCAGATTCCATCAACGATGGCAAGTTCCCAAAGTTAAAAATTCCTATTTCATCAATTCCTGCAAAACCCAATCTCCAAGCTACATTAAAAAAAAAAGTAGAAGAAATGTGATCAGAATTAGAAATCTGCTACAACAACAATGACGAAAGTACAAATTTAAGCCTCGCCCTCCAATATGTAATAATTGGACAAAAGAAAAGTTGCAAAGTTCGCTACGTGAGAAATTTTTTGCCCGCATGCTTAATACTGTTTGTCTTCATTTTGAAATGGTTGTCATCATCATGTCACCTTCATCAGAAAATTGTTATAGTATCAGTTGCACTAATAAAGTTTCCAAAACTTGACAGTAGTGGATTTACCAGTCAAACTGAAAAAGGGCGGACCGCGTACTGCAATTTATGAACTTTGCAAACGTTTTCATTGGCCTATGCCTAGCTTTGATTCAGTTGTCAAGCCAAGGTCAGTATAACATATTTAGCATGCAGTCTCTCTCTCTCTCTCTCTCTCTCAACTATTCTGTGCGGATGCCGAATGTAGTTTAAGTCCAGAGACTAATAAGAATGCACCACATTAGCAGTACCAAGCAGGGTACCGAGTAGTATTTAGCTGTTGTATGACGGTACCGAGCAATATCGAGCCGGGTATCGAGCAAGGGGTGAAGTGGCGCATTTTGGTTGGTCTCTAGACGGCGTTCGGCATCCGCACAGAATAATTCACTCACTCTCTCTCTCTCTAAAACATTTTACATGAATGATTGTTTACCACCATGCAGTGGTGTTGATGGGAAGAAGGGGGTTCTTAAGTTCATTTCAAGTATCACAATGCATTTTCCTGATTCAAGCATGATCAAGCTGGCAGGAGAGAGCAGATTAGATAAGAAGAGTTCACAGGATTCAGCTGCGCTAGTTATGCTCTATGAGCTGGAAAGACTTGGGAGATGCAGCATACACGAAGTTTGATTGGTAGATTCGGACTTTTTAGAAGAAAAACGTAAAAATCTTTCAATACTGTAGTTAGTTAGATGCAATCAGATCCACAATATTGTTCTCTCGATGGCCAATTTTTTTTTTTCTGTACATATGTAGTAATTGAAAAGGTACCATTGTTTAACTCATTAAACATTTTCCAGCAATAAAAAAAATGTTAACGGCTCTCTCTTTAGTTTCAGCTCCCTTAGTATTTTCATTGGTGTAGATGAACTGAACATTAATTAGTTGGGGTCTTGTTTGAGCGTAAAAAAAAATGATAATAGAATATCATTTTAAAATATACAATACAAAATATTTTTTTCATGATTCTTAGGTAGGGTGTATCTATATATAAAGAGAGGGAGTTTTTCACATGTCATTGGCTATTTGTAATAAAATTTAAATAATTGATTTATTTAAATATTATATTGATATTTGGAAAAAGTGTGAATTAACTAATTTAAATTTCAATAATTTAAATAAGTAAAAAATGTTTTTAAAAAAGTAATGATGAAAATCATTATACTTCTAATAAACATATAATTATCATTAAACTCGGATGATAAATCTTGTCTAACTTTTAATCATAAGTAAATAAGTATAAATTTTTGTAACATATCAAAGCTCAAATAAAATTATAAAAAAATGCGCTCAATTGAGCTTTGCTATATATATGCTTCGTTTAAGACTACTTTCTTACTGCTGCTTAAAATAGCTTTATGGTAAAAAAATATTTTTTTTTACTAAAAAATTGCTTTAAAAAGCATAAAAAAGCCGTCCCAAACGAAGCCTTATAATTTCAGTTACCAGTTGTGCTTCGAGTGATTATTAATAATAAATGAAACAATACTTTTAATACATAGTAGCGAGCTGAAACTAAGCTGGAGTTTGTCCATTAGCTCATTAGAAGATAAAGCTGCAGATTTTGGTCCTTAGAATCTGTAAGTTCACTTCTTTTTAAAGAGGAAATTAGCAACCATCCATTCATCTCCACTGTTGTAAGCAAAAAGCTCTGCAACTGAAATGAAGAAAGTTCTCCAATAAGCAGTCCATTTCCTGGCTGAATCCTTCCCATAAGTAGACTCCATAATGGGTCTTATAGCATCTGACTGCTTATCCATTCTCTTAAGCCATTCTTCACTGCATGGAAGTGTGAATTTTGAATCACTGGCAACAGCTTTAACATATATATATATATAAAGATGCCAAAATAAACAGTGAAAGCTACTTGAAAGAGATTTTAAAGGCGTGCGGAGTTCATCTAATCTGCTTAGCATACAATGAGTTTTCAGTCACAATCTTGGACCAATTGGATATCACCTTCTCCGAGCATCAATTAGCCTCCACAATCTCTCTCTTCCAAGGCCATCTCTCTCTGCTCTCTCCTACTCTAAGTCTCTAATGGCCACTTGTCCCCTCTTTACTTGAAAGCTGTCTCTTATTATCTGCTTCTTACCTTATAACTCAATCGGTTTAAAATTTTCATTGTAGGCTCTGTGGCACCTTTTTTTTCTTTGGGTCGTCGAGGAGAGTTTTAAATAGTATGTTCCGAGGCAAATTTTCAGAAGGCAGATTAGGTTTTAAATAAGACATTACCTAGAGATTTCGCCCTAATTTTACGAGGACTTTATGAATTGTGTTCAAGTTTCCTATAAGCACAAGCCCCTATAGTTAATTACCTCTCTCGGTAATGAGAGAAAACTTTCGATCCAAGGTTATTCGTCAAACAAATACGTAATATCCGATGTATAGTAGCCGCATGATTTGGTATTTGAAAATTTAATATTTAAAATTGAAAATTCAACATCTTGCACTTAAAGCGGATGGTGGGGAGAGTGATGATAGACACAATCAAGATCCCATTGTTATGTCATCCTGTGCTATCATGATCCCTAATCTACTTAGTCAGAGGAGGTAGTTGACCCAACCTGACAGAAAGATCCTTGTTGGCAACCATAGGTTGCTTCATACAAGGGTATTTTGTAGACCTATGGTGAGTATTTTGTCTAAGAGGATAAATTTAAAGCCACCTTATCCAACAGAGGGCTTTGTGCCCTATCGGTCTTATCCTATTGATTCATTACACAAAGATTTAACATCTTTGGGGAACACACGGACTCTTACCATGATCGTAATCTAATTGTGCCATTTGGCAGCGAAACCACCGGTTATAGGACAGGTGCAACGTCCTTACTGGCAATATACGAATTGAAAATTAATCATAGTGATACTCTCGACAAGATATTTGCTCATTGTGAGCTGAAGTGCTTTTCAAGCTTGTACAGCTTGGCAAACTATTGCGGAGGGTGGATTGATATTTGCTTTAAGTGTTTGGTACTTGATTTCAATTTTAAACATTCATATCATAGAATATATTTTATGGGAATTGAGAGGCATTTTCTAATATTTGGGGTCCCTCCGGTTGAGATTTTTTATCAATATGACCATCATCAGGATACTTATGGGCAATTTCATTTTGTTGGTCAAACTTTGTCGACTTTGTCTACTTGCCAACAAAGGACTAGGTTCGTTGTCGACTTCATGCCCTTATTAATGAATTTTTCTTGTAATAGGCCTTGAAGGCCTAATATAAATGTATAAAACAAATATCTCGGCCAATGTTACAACCATATATTTGTTGATAGTTTGAACTGTGTCAACTCCATATATTCACATAAAAGGATCGGGCTTGAACTTATGTTCATTTCTTAACCCGCACAACATCCTCGGACGTTACGTGTGTGCATACAATACGCTCACTGATTCCCACGCATATATATATTTTTACATGTATGTTACATGATGCACATAGTAGTTGTATGTATACAGTGCAAGTGGTGTATATGACATATTTGTATAATATGCATTTATGTGAAACATGAGTTCATTGATTTACTTATGCATTTAGATGTTGTTACATGCTTGAATGACATCTCTACATGTTGCATTATATATTAGTATGCAGTAAAATGACTTAATGCACAATCATAATGTATGATGTATTTGCATGATTTGTGCATAGTACACATGTACATGGTATGTATGCTTGCATAATACATTTGCATGATCATTCAGTGTTCCTGTGTACTACATGGGATGTTTGCATGTTGGCATAGCGCGTTGCCGCTACACAATACATTATACATGTTAGGTGATATGCTTGCATAATGCATTTATGTATTGCTTATTTGTATACACAATGCATTGGTGTGATAATTCAATACTCTCATGTGGTTCATAATGTATTTGCAAGTCAACGTAGTGTGTTGGCACTACAGAGTGTATTTTGCATATTTGATAATATGCTTACATGTTGTATTTTATATTTTGCGACATGTATATGCATGATATGAATGCATCAGTGCACATTTCAATGCATGGAGGTATTTTTCCAAAATTTAGTTATAGCTAGCTGTGCAGAAGTATGCAGGATTTCATTCTATAATCTGTGAACACCTTCCGTTCGTTTATGTGAATGTTGCGAATCTAATGGCGTGGTGTAGCAACACATTGGGTCTCATTTCATCTCCTGCAAGCTATTATTTTCTTCAATATTTAGCTTACGAGAGTATTCTTCCTCCTGCAAATGAGCTATGTGGTGCATCAGGAGCCTCCAACTTGTCGCTTCCAAATAGACATATTTGTCTAGTGTGACAGCTTGGCGCCGCAAATTTACTATCTCAGTTTATCAGCGGCCCGCAATTTTTACTATCGACTTCCTGCTTTTGCCTACAGGTGAATCGTAGTGTTGCGTTATGGGTCACTCATTGCCTCTTGCAAGGGAGATATTACACGCATTGTGAGTTTTGTTGGATATCCAGAAGTCACCCGCTGTCGTATACTAGTGAACTGTATTCAATGCGACATCCTCTTGCACTAATTGTAGGTACTCACACTCGTCGTAGTTTCTTAACCTTGCTTGTAGTGTGTTGTATATCTTTTTATATTCATAGAGAAGTCATCATACTTATAGCATATCCTGTATCGTTGCTAGCAAGTAAGTCATAACGCTTCACAACGGGTCATTTGTGGCTTTTTGCATGTAAGTCATTGTGCACTGCAAGCTTTATTAAATATGTATGCAGGTCGTCAGTGGATATCCAAAGGTCACTAGCCATCATATGCAGACTGTTGTGTTCACGACGTATTTCCCACAATGGCTTGTAGGTGCCTGCACTTATTATAGGTTCATTGGCTTTGCATGTAGGCGATGTGTTACATTCACTGCAATCTTTCATTTATGCCTGTAGAGAATCCATCGCACTTGCAGTACATCCACTATTGCTGGTTGTAGGCAGGACCGTTGTATGTATTACAGGCCTTCTATGGTTACCTATGGGCAAGCTACTTTACATGCAAATCTTCTAACGATGTAGTGGCTTATAGGTGTTTGCATTTGTTGCACGATCTACGACATTTGCTCGTAAATAGCAGATTGTGTATGTGGCGGGTTTTCTACAGGAGTCCGTAGGTGCTTGCATTTGCTGTCAATCAACCGTCTTTGCTTGCAAGGGGTCAGTGAATTTGCTAGCTAGATAGTTGCTTATTATTGACTGTAAGAATGGTCTAGTATTTACTGCATGTTGTTCATCGTCACCCATAGGTGGACTAGTGCACACGACAAGGCTCCTACTGTCGCTTGTAGATGTTCATGTTCATAGTGGATTCTTGGCTTTTGCTTGTAGATAGTGTGTGCATTTGTGTCCACAGGGGATCCGCCGTACTCGTAGCATATCCCCTATTGTTATTCACAATTAGATCATATTAATCGTTATCGCTCATAAGGAATGGTCGTATTCATCTACAAATGAACTGACATTGATTGCAAAAATGTCGCAACATTCACTGCATGCTACTTGTTATCATCAGTAGATGAGTTATTGTGTGTTCATCAACATTGGCATTGATAGCAAAGAGGCCATCTCTTTTGCAAACTTCTCATTTTGCTTGTAGACATGCTATATCCCTTGCATGTCGCTCGTCATTGCTTGTAGGATTTAATGTACCTATTCATATGTTGATATTGGCTGCAGGGTGTTGTTGCATTCATTGTAAGTTACTAGTACTTACACCATTTATTGTGATTATATCTATTTATTTTGTAAGCATAATTGAGATGAACATTGCAAGTCAACTATCATTGTTCATAAGTTCCATGTCATGGCATGTAATAAGGTCATATCTTCTATAATTTCATCGTCACTTGTAATCAAGTTGTGTTTGCAAGTTCTTTGTCCAGCATAAGTTTCCTGATCATTCATTTGTGTTAAATTATTTGTCATTTGTAAATTATAATTTCATTTTATGCATTTATTTAAGTTTGGTTCCCAGTTGTTCATTCAAGTTCTGTTCCTTGCGCTTGTTTAAGTTCAGGACCTCCGTATGCTAAAAAATTTGGCAGCCTCCAAACGTCTCCCCCATTTATGGGAAATTTGGAAAGTCTGGGCCTTCCCACCTCGCTAAGAAAAGCATGTATGATGAGTGTCAAGCGACACCACGGTCATTATTTTTTTAATCTCACTATGCTAAGAAAAGCGTGCATAGACCTTTTGTCTTCGTTTTATTAACGCGAACATGAGTGCAGAGGTCGAGATGAGCGAATCCTGAGAGAAAGCTCGAGCGGCGTCGGCGCCGAACAGGTACGTGGGATTTGAGCATAGTTTCGGGAGATGACAGGGAGGTCAACATCCATGAAAAGCAAGGAGATGAAGAAGAAGAAGAAGTTTGTCCGTTGTTTGGGATTACTTTCAAAGTTTTCTACTTCCACCATATAATTCTCTCTCTACCTTTCTTGATAATCACAAGACTCCATAAAACCCCTTGGTTCTAGAGATTATTAGGTGCGGAGTGTGGACAAGGAGAACCGTCCGCACACAAGTATAGGGTACCCACTCGGTACCGCTTGGTACTGCTGGGTACCGTTAGGTACCCAGTGCTTGTGCTGATGGTGCACACTCCGCACCTAATAATTTTTCCCTTGGTTGAGCCTTCGCTTTAGGAACATAATTGACCTACTTTATTGCAAGGGTCCATTATCTACATAAAATATTCTTCACCATGATAATCCTACCAAACATTCTAAGAATCCAGGCTATTATGATTACTCATACTCATACTTTACTGTTTTCTTCTCAGGTTTGATATTCTCATTTGCAATTTTTATCTGTATTCTAATACTATTTATATCCCAAACTTTATGAATTACAAGTAAACTAAATTAGCTACAACTGCAAGTGTTTTGTATGAAGCCAGGACTCTTTAAAGAAACAAACCTTGTCCTTGAATAGTGTATACCACTAATAAGCCAATGGTTGACCACAGAAACATCATCCTGCACAATACATTAAAAGTTGTAAAACACAGTTCTTAAAAATTATACTAATCAGGTTTTGAAAAACCAAATCAACTTACTCACATTAGGTTCTTAAATCCACAAATTAATGATAATAAAGCCATATTCTTCTAAATATTTGTAAAAAACAAAAATGAAAAGTCTATCATGAAGATTAATGATGTGTCAAAAGTAAAAACTATTTTTTCATCATGAGATCCATGGTGGAGATCATGAAATCAGTAAAAAGAAATCTCAGATGTAGAAAGAAAGCCGTCGTTGAAGGCAGTTTTTAAAGGTAGTTAGCTAACCTGGAAGTATAGTAGCAGGTTAGAAGATGGCATTGTTCCACCACTGAAAAAATATCTTGTAATCCAGTCATCATCATTTACATCCTGAATAAAACAATGGTCATTAGAAATGTCCAAAACTATGAATTCAAAGTAAAACAGGTTAAAAAGGCTCTTTTTTATTATCTAGTTTTTATAAGGCTGTAAAAATCAATAATTAAATTGAAAAAGGGTGGCGGATTTATTTAAAGAAGCAATCAACGGTTTCTATAAAACCTTTGCAAAGTCAACTAAGAAAATAAATTGATACCTCGAAATGGTAAGCGAATGCTTTGTGGCAAAAATGATGAACAAAAAGTAGACTTTCAGGCTTCATCCACTTAGATATTTTGTTGAGAAGTGCCTTGTAGTTCTTCATGTGCTGTTAATAAGATGAAATTTAGGTTTCTTGTATGTGTAACAAAACGCAAGAACTAATATGCTAGCCTTAAAAGATGGCGCACCTCGAACATCTCTATAGATATAATTCTGTCAAAAGATGCATCCATTTCATGTTTGCTAATGTCTGCAACAATGATATCTACGTTCAAGAGCTGAAGTTCCCTGACAAACATGAAAAAGCCTTATATTAATTAAATAATTTACAGGAGGAGCTCAGACTATTTGAATAAAGATCCATACAAAGTTCTTCGAGTTCAAATTGACCAAGCGGTGTAGAATGGTTAAGGCTCTAGGCTTTCTAAATGAAACATGGATGATATGCTAGAATAAAAAAAATCACAATTTGCATGATACTAATCCATAATTTTAATAAAAACTTTACTTGTTTAGTTTATGGATAGCAAATACGCTTTATTATTCTACAAAATAATTTAATAATCGCCCCAAATATGAAATTCAACACGAAAATAACAAAGAAAATAAAATTCAGCAACTAGTCAAGCTCACATTTCAAAGAGAAAAATCTAGCATGTATCATGATAAAATCAATTAAAAAAAAGAAAGTAATAATGATATATATCCACAAAAAGAAGCAATCGGGCCTATTGCTAGTATAAGCGGTCTACCGATTGGAATTAGCAGTCCATACATGTGAAGCACTCGAAGAACACATCCAAAAAGAACCACCTTGAGAGAGAAAAAAACTGAATTTGTCTTTCAATATTCATTGCTCAATGACTTTTACATGCTTTAGGGATTCTATTTACAGGTATCAAATGACTCAAATAAGGAATTGCAAAAGATATGTAGCAATTTACCATGAACAATAAGTGTCAATACATATAGTAATAATTCTTCAGTAGAAATCTTCCCATAAAATCCAATTCCATAATTGCATAAGGAACCAACCTAAATAAGAAGATTATTAACGTAAACATGGAGGAGGTATGACTGCAGAAGTGTGATGCTATAGTGTGGGTATCGAGAGGGGGGGCATAATAAGTAGTGGAACTATAGCAATTAATGGGAGACATAAGGAGACACCAACCCAATAGGAAATCAATAGCAAGTGGAGGCAATTAGCACAAAGGCAAAAGTAGGAAGTAGTGGTAAAGGCAGCCAAAGGAAACAACAACAGAGTGGAAGATTTTCTTCCTTAGGTGAAACAAGAAACATTTAAACTCTACAAATGTAGATTAGAATACCACTTGCTAAGGCATAATAATGCAATAAAGAGTTAGACAACGGTTATACAAAACCGGCACCGATTTTACTGGTTTTCTGGTTCAACCAGTTGTTTAAACAGGTTTGATGCAAATCCGATTTTTGAATTTGATCGGACCAAAAACTTGGCTGGTTCATAGTCGAACCGGTTGAACTGGCCAGTCTGATCCGATTTTCAGAACGTTGCTTAATATACTCTACAAAGTAATACATAAATTATCAAGTTTGCATATGAGCCAACATTATAAGCACGTATTATACAAAATAACTAAAAAGGAGAATAAATTACATTGATATAAATTATATAGATCATCAATTTCTATATTTTTGATGCGAACATCCGCAGCTATACTTTAGATTTCCATTACATAACAATATAACATATTGAATAAACCATAGATATAAATTTCTAACAAGAAAAATACTATAGCCATTTGGTTTTTTAGAAGCAATTTACTGTTTATTTTGGTTATATTGACTAAGAAAGCATCCATGATCCGACAAAAAACAGTCCACCAGCAGTTAGTTACTAATTGTTAAAATCCCAATCATCCCTTGGCCCTTAATCCCACGACCAAGATGGAGATCTAGGGGAGGCTCACCTGGATCATGACGATCTCCTTCCATATTCAGGTGGTTGATTTAGGAAGGATTATATTATGTATTTATTTATTTCTTTATTAAGATATCTTGTATAGATCTATAAATAGGAATAATTTTGTATAATGAAATTAAAGCATTTTCCTCTCAAGTTCTCTGAATTTAGCATGATATCAGCCACCATCAGCTTTCATGCTGAAATTTCGAGGAATACAAGTTCCCACGATTGGTTTTTATTGCTGGAATTCTGAGGAATATAGGTTACCACTACTAGCCTTCATCGTTGAAATTATGAGGAATATTGGTTCCCACCACCGCTTTCATTATCAAAATTCTGAGGAATACATGTTCTCACCACCGGCTTTTATTGCCGAAATTCTAAGGAATACTGGTCTTTCCACCGACCTTCATTGTCGAAATTCTAAGGAATATTATTCCTTTTGTTTCCTTTGTGTATCCAAGACCGAGGAGAGATCGAGTAGGAGGGCTCCTCTCACATGTAATGTCCAGAGTCGATCGAGCAAAAGCGAGAGAAGTTGAGCGTAGGATCTCCTCTTGCATGTTCATGGAAAGAGTTGGGAGTTCCCTCTCGTGAGGATCTAGGGTTGGGACAAGCAAGAGTGCAAGACCTGCACTTCTTCCTGCGATCAGACCAGACGGATCAGAGGCCTCGCGTACGCTTGTATGGGGTCGATCGAACATAAGTATTCAGGTGGAGTTGGACCACTGTTTTGCATTGGGCTGAAGCCTGGCTTGATCGACAAGAGGGGATTTGCATGCTAAGTGTTGAGCCGCTTGAGATGTGTTTTTCTGATTCTGTCCTTGAAGCTTGCCACAACCCTAAAAATGAATTTTTTTCTTACTATAGTGCCTTCATTGCCAGCCTTCCCTTGTGGTTTTTATCCTATCTATAACCAATGCAACCTTCATTACTGTCCTGCTTAATATAGTCTTCATTGATACCATTTGCCACTGCAATGTTTGAAGCTAATTTCTCCCAAAATTTTGACCAAATGGAGGACTATATGGTGCACTAATGGACTTAATAGCTCTTCTTTTCTGTGACTAATTACTAAGCTGGAATGAAAGATCTGCATTCTCCAGCTAAGGAAGAGTGCTAAAATCCCAACTGTCCTTTAGTCCTTGATCCCATGGCCAGGATGGGAATCCGTGGGAGGCTCACCTGGATCATGACGATCTCCTTTTATATTCGGGTGGCTGACTTAGGAATGATTATATTAGGGTGATTATGCATGATTCCATAAATATTTGTGTTTTTATTAAGATATCTTGTATATATCTATAAATAGGGATAGTTTTGTATAATGAAATTAAAGTATTTTCTCTCTCAAATTCTCTGAATTTAACACCAATATCAAATGAAAAAAAAAAATTATATTGAAAATTAAGCCGTTCAAATAATGTCTATAATTCGGTTTTCCATCTTGGTAATGAAAAACATCATCTCATGTTTAGCAGATGACTCATATGTGATTTTAAAACAAGCATACAAATCAGAACCTAGAATCTAAAAGATGATTATATACAGCTCCACACAACATAGAAAAAATGGTAACATTCTACAATGGAAAAAAAAAAAATTCCTGTTTACCTGCACTGCTCATCAATATAAGCTTTCTGCGTTTTTGAATTGCATATCCCTGTAATTTTGCAATTTTTGTATTTCTTTGCAAGATATAAGGAGAGAGAACCCCAGCCACATCCTAAGTCAAGGATCGATTGCCCATCTTCAACCTGAGCTCTTTCACAATACAGATCGAACATTGCAACCTCAGCATCCTCTAGTGTGCTTGTGCTTTCTTCAAAGTAACAACAGCTGAAAAAAGGAAAAAATATTATCCATTTCAACATAATACAAAATTGCTAGATTTTAAATTGCTTGTGTATGGATTCCTAACTGTTAAGCTTTGAATCAATCCACCTTAAGTCTTAAAAGGTTGTAGATTGAGGCCAATAAATTCATTTTATCGTCAAATTCACCATCTCAAATGCAAGCATAGCTGAATAAGCGTGAAGTAAAACTACCTTGGGATTAAACAAACACAGCATCAACCTATTTTTCCATATGTTTGAAGAAAATGACGATAACAGGACTCAAATTCCATAGCTCTGAATTTGATATCTGTTAAGAACTAGAACAAACAAAATCTAAAAGCTTAAGCTTGAGAATTGGGATCCATGAATTAACTCTATCGTCAAATGCCAAAGAAGTGGATATGCAAAATTGCAACTTCCTAGCACAAAAAAGAAAGCAATGGAGGAAAAAAGGAAACCATACATCCTCTCACACATAGCCTAATTTTGCTTTTAGGGCTCATTCAGTTGCTTGTCAGTAAGAAAATATACTTTAGAAATAATGATTTAACTTTCATTCATTTTGAGCATAAAAATGAAATCATCATGTAAGAGAGTTTATGAAAGTTTGTGGAGTTTGAAAGAAGTTGATTTCTAACTATTGAATTTACAAATTTCATCATTTTTAAACATGATTTACTCCAAGCAATAACATGAATCCTTGGGGCATTGGTTGCAAGTTTTATTCAGGAATTAGACTAAATCTTGCAAAATCAATTTTTTGAGTCACATAAATCTTACTACCATCTTAAATCCTATTTTCCTCTCATTTCTGTTTACATGCCAAATTTATTAAATCTTGGGAGAAGTGGAATTTAAGAAATTTACACTTCTCATTGTGCTTCTTTTTATCCTTAATTTAAATTCCAAACCTTGGAAATACATTTTTTTCAAAAAATTTATAAGCATATATCTAGATTTAAAATCTATTATGACAAAAAAAAAAAGAACTAATGCCCCCAAGATTTACTAAATCTAGATTTGCAAAATCAATTCTTTGAGTCATATGAATCTTACTACCATCTTAAATCCTATTTTCCTCTCATTTAAGTTAAAATGCCAAATTTGTTAAATATTGGGAGAAGTGGAATTTAAGAAATTTACACTTCTCATTGTGCTTCTTTTCATCCTTCATTTAAATTCCAAATCTTGGAAATACATTTCTTTCAAAAAATTTATAAGCATATATCTAGATTTAAGCTTCGTTTGGGACAACTTTGTTATTGCTTTCTAAAGCAGCTTTTTATTACAAATATTTATAGTTTGAAAATTTTTTGTATTAAAAAACTTCTTTAGAAAGCAACAAGAAAGTTGTTCCAAACAAAACCTTAAAATCTAGATTTGTAAAATTGACTAATATAGCATTTTCTATTCAAGTTTAAAAAAACAAGATTGTGAACTCAAGTATTTTTCCTTAGCGAGGCAGCCTCGAACCTAAGAAATTAAAAACTCGTAAACTAATAATTACTCATAAATATATCATAAACCTTCGACAGGTTAACTTAATTCATCATCATAAACCATAAAATAGTAAGAAATTCAAGATAAAAGAAATTTTCAATCTTAAATATTAATCTAAAATAAATGTGTGAAATAAGATTCAAAGTTTCAAACTAAACTCTCACTTAAAATTTAAACACACTGAGGATCATGATCTACAATGCAATCACATGCAGACATAGATATTCCTGCTTGAAGTTGACCACTTGCACATAGTCGCAAGCCTCATAGCTTGTATCCTTCTCCCACCCCTATTACACTTTCGTCCACTTGCAGACTCCTCGCTTGCTTACTACTCCTTGTCTAACCGCCCTTCTCTCACTCAACTCTTGTAATTCTAACCTAAAAATTCAATTCAAATATAATATGAGGTATATCTTATACTTATTTTTAAGCATAAAGAGGTGGGTTTGACATGATTTCAAACTCATTAGTTGCTTTGATAACCTTTTAATACTAATTAACATCTCATTTATAAACTGCAACCCCCAGGATGCTTCCAAAGAATAATTGTACACTACTGGAAAAATCAATCAACAAAATAGCATAAATGAACTAAAAAGCATAACTAAATGCTGAACAATAGCTACAATAGGGACTGCAGGCAAACCTATATTTGAGATTCTTCCCAAGAACAAGTTTGAAAAATGATGTCGGTAGCTCATAATGCTGTGATTTGGCCTTATCAGTTTCCATAGCTATTGGCATGTCTTCCAGAGCTGCCCACATAGTCAACGGCTAAGGCTTTTCACCACCAAAATAATAATAATAATAATAATAATAATAATAATAATAGTAATAACAATAAAATAAAAGAAAATCCGAAAATACTTGATTGTAAACACGGTGCTGTTATGGCTCTCGCTACCTTAAATTTGAGAAAAAACCAGTTAAATTATGCATAATAGAAAATATTTTCCCTATATATATCTATACAATAGAAGCTTTGCCCTTCTATTTAACCTTTGCGCACTCAAAATCCTTATTCCACTCCTGAAATTATTGCACCAAGAATATGGCGAGACTAAAAATTTAAGCCTCCCTACCTAGATTCAGCCTTTTTTTGTGAAAAGACCACAATTACAACCTAAACCAAACTCCTCGGAAGATAAAAATATGTCGACATATATAATTTTTGAAATCCTTACCGTTCTTAAATCGTAGGAGTTGGGAGAGCTGAAGATGGGCGGAGGAGAGGTAGCCCTGGCGGAGGCGGGCGGCGAGGAGGACACGCGTCAGCCGGCGTACGACGGCGTCCGGCAAGAGGTTTTTCTCGAGAGAGACGAGCACAGCTCGCACAGCCGCATCGTACGGAATTTGTACTAGCGCTGCCATTTCCTCCACCGGTTAGCTCCCTGCTCTCTTCAGTTCCGATCCTAACTATTCCCTAAGATCGTTGGGGGAATTTAAAGCAGTTTTTTTAGTTAAAAAATTTATTTATTTTTTCTTTTAATCAGACACATTATATGAAGGTCTTAGGGGTGTAATCAAGTCAAGTTGACTTAATATTGACTAGTTAATGAGCTTGCAAATCAAGCTTATTGAACTTTGAGAGCGAGCTGGAGCTCAAGCGTTCGCTCTCAAGATAAAATGAGCTTGAGTTTGAGTTTGATGAAACTAAGCAATTCAGATCACGAGCTTGCTCCATTACATAGATATTTGGGAGGAAAAATATGTTTTTTTATTAACTTAAGTTTTTAAGTTATTAAAAACATTATAGGTTCCAAGCTTTAGATTAAAAAAGTGAAGATAGTCGAAAATATGACAACATAAGATTTAACGGAATGAGTGAAATCCTGAACCATCATTACTACTCAAACTAGCAACATAAACAATAAGAGCTATTATAAATCCAAATGATAAAGCATGACAAATATATTTCATCTCATCAAAATCTATATATATTAATCTAACATAAAAAATTATGTACATCAGAATAATGAAACAATGAATTACAAAAAAAAAAAATTCTCAATCAATTAAACTCAAAAAATATAATAAATAATATAATGAGCATAACTAGCCCGGTAGACTTCTTATCCCAACCTCTCACATATATCAATATTTAAATTAAAATATTAAAATATAATATTATAAAAGAAAGATAGTGACTTGCAAAAAATAAATTTTTTTTTGACCGGAGACAGCTACCTCTCCAGAAAATAAAACACGTACTAGTATAACAAAATTTTCTAGGGTTTCAGCATATACTTGAAGTTATCACTTACTTGTAAAGCCATTTTCACAAAGATTTTCAAATACATCATAAACACATGTTAACAAAGATTCACTTACACTAGACTTTTATATTTCATCATAATTCATACAGAAACTTAGAGATTTCTAACATTTAGTTTAGAGTATTGAATATACTTTATTCATTAATATATATACAATATAATGATTATAATGCACATGTCCCAATGTGTGCTTATAATTTCACTTTTATGTATCTCTCCTCTTAACCTCTCACACCTGTAGAAGTTTACAGAACAGAGAAGATAAAGTAAAGAAGAATATTATTTGATTTCTTAATGTCATTACATACAGGTTATACATATATATATAGTAGTGTAAGAGGAGAGGTACACATGTAATAATCTGATTGGATCAAATGGCAGCATAAGTAATATAAGGAGCTGCTCTTAACAACACCGACATATAACAAGCAGGGCTAAAATCATAGCAAAACAGTGCAACATAACCTCCCACACGTACTTCAAACAAATGGGGACAAGTTCCCTCCCACATCTACACTATACAAAATTGGGCCATAACAAAACACATAGGGCCCATGTAGCATATCATAGAGTGGAGGAATGCATTGGGCATGTTGTATGATAGAAACGTACCCCTCAAATTTAAGGAAAATTTCTATAAGATGGTGAGGAGACCTGCAATGCTTTATTGCACAAAATGTTGGACATTAAAAGAGAAGCATAAAATTAAGTGTTGTAAAGATGAGGATGCTTAGATGGATGAGTGGCTTCATTCTTAGAGATAGAATGCCAAACGAGTATATAAGGTTAAAGTAGCTGTAATGGCAAATAAGATTAGAGAGAAGTAGCTTAGATGGTTTGGACAAATAAAATGTTGGTCATCTGATGACCCAGTTAGGAGAGTATATGTATTAGATTTGGCCTATATTTAGAAAGGTAGAGGTAGACCTAAAAAGATATGGTTAGAAAATATTGGCAATGACCCTTTTATTAAATTTAAAAGAGAAATTGACTCTTAATTGAATACAATGGAGAAGAAGGATTCATGCAATCGACCTCACGTAATGGGATAAAGGTTTGATATTGTCGTTGTTATATACAACTAAAAAGATATAAATAAAATATAACAAAAAATATGAAAAATAATATTGTTTAAAAGGTAAGATGATTCTTTTTCTAAAAGCAACTAAAAAAACTGTCAAAACGTTGTTCATCTTGGTTTGTTGGTTGGGAGCTTTGACTACCAGCCAAAAGGTATTGAGTTCTTACATATGTGATGTATATGTGAGTTTGTCTTAATTGGTCGAAATGACCCAAAAAAAGCTACAAAAATTAAATTGTATTAAATGAGTTGCCAGCTACTTTTGAGATTAACAAAAATTTATATTTACTTTCTCATGAAATCGATTGCATTTAATGCTCCAATCATATTGTCTCTTCTAAAAAAAAAAGCACTTCAACATTTCTTCTTCTCATCTAACGTCCTCACTTTCATGTTTGAGCTTGACATAACTCCAGTGACCATGCGGCCTTACTTTCTCCCTTCTCCGGCGAGTCAACCTCAAGTGTCGAGCCAAGCTCGCTAAAGTTCGATGAGCCAAGCTCGAGCTCATCATATGAGAGCTCAAGTTCGAGCTTGCCATTGAGTTGATGAGCAAAGCTCGAGTTAGCCCAAACTTGAGTTTGGCTAGACTCATTTACCCCCTAGGTGGTCTACATTATTTAAGTAAAAAACATATTATATGTAAAATATAAAATATATTAGGATTTTCATAGCCAATTGATTTATTTTGAGATTAATATAATTAATGATATCATAGAAAACACTAATCTCAATACAAATCAGAAGTTTTGAAACTCATCTTAATGAAACAAAGTTCTAGTAGAACATTTTAATATAAATTACATCAAAATGAGCTTAAAAATCATTGATTTGCTTTGAACCCATATGGGAATAATATACATCATTCAAAGTTCTCTCATTTACGTATTTAATGAATTAACCATATTATTTGCATAATTTAACATTAATTAACTTCATTAACATTGCTATAGTGAGTTCCATTCCAACTTCCTCTATTGGTCCTATTCATGTATTGTAATTAGTGAGCTCCATCGCAACTTTGTCAGTTCCGTCGATGCATTTCTTGAACGAGCTTAAGCCAAACATCATTTTCTTTATGTCGATCTCGTAGACAAATTTTACTAACAAGCTCTGTTTCAACTTATTCATCAACTAGTAATATTCAACAAAATTTTGTCGTGCAAATGCTTAATCGTCAAGACGTATAAGGCAAGTTTTGGATGGGATTTGGTTGGGGGGGAGTTCTGTTTTGTTGATACTTAAAATAATAGATGTTATATGAGTAAATAATAAAATATTGATATTTAATGAATATATTAAAAAAAAAACATTATACCTAGTGGCTAGTGGGCTCATTTTCTAGGCCTAAATTATTTGGTCCAAAAAGAACAATATGGCCTGCCTTGGCCCAAATTGTAATTTATTGGGTTGGGTCCAAAACCCATAATTTCTTTTCTCGTTGTGCATTCTCTCTCTCTCTCTAAAAACCAACGCCTCACAATCTTCAGAATTAGCAGATAAAAAGCTAAAAAAGATAAATAAAATAAAATATCCTCACAGAAAAGAACAGACTAAGCATCACTAACTGAACGAATATAATAATATAAAGAAATAAAAAAGCAATAATAAAGGAGAACGCAGTTGTTGACTTGCTATAAAACGTAAAAAATAAGCTCTAACTTTCTAAGGGAAAAAACTATATTAAATTAATATCAAATTAAATTATTATTATCAAATGATCGTAAATATTTTTTTATATAAAATTTTTATTAAAGGTTGCCATCGAACACGTGGCTTAACCCCATACGTCTACTGTGCGGCAGATTCCAAATTTATCAATCAAAGACAAGTGGTGCAAAAAGATTTCCTTATTATTTATTTTAATAATTACATTCTTTTTTATTAGGCATGAAAGCGTTGCTTTTTTTATTTTTTATATGGGCTGTTTCATTTATTAAAAAATAAAAATTAAAAAAATAAAAAATAAAGTAGACTATAGTTTAGTAAAATGAAATATTTTAAAATATTTAAAAGTATATAGATAACTATAAAATAATTATAGATAATTATTTTTATTAAAATTGAAGAAAAATAAATACAATATAAAACCTAATGATGATAGTGGTTCATTGCTAGTTGTAATCGGGCTATGAAAAAGATAATAATGTCAGAATAAGTAACTTACGGTGAAAAAAATGTTTGAAAAATATTATTACCTTAAAATATATCAGAATTTGGCTACGATGAAAAAATATATTAAAATTTTACTATGCATTCCATTTTAGCAACACCAAATAGTTCATTTGATTTTCGTAAAGTATTTTTATAACTAAAAAACATCCATCACAAAATTTTGATAAATAATAAGTAATTAACATGTGGCATAAATTTGTAATTACTTTGTAATAGAATGCACACATTTATTATGAGAGAACACTTTACTATTATTTATGACAAATCATTATATCATTTTGTTTATGGGATGATTTATAGTGACAAACATGCAACAAAGTCAATCATATGTTAGTCACAAAGTGACAAAGCTATAATTTTTTTGCTTTGTTGATGCAAATTAAGACTTCGTTTGGGGCAGCTTTCTTACTGCTTTTTAAAACAGTTTTTTTAGTACAAAAAAATAAATTTTTTCTTCTCGAAAGTTGTTTTAAAAAACATTAAGAAAGCCATCCCAAACGAAGCCTAAGACATTGTTTGTGACGGCTTTCTTATTGTTTATTAAAGCATATTTTTAGTACAAAAGTCATTTCAAACGAAGCCTAATAATATAATATCGATTAAGGCTTCGTTTAAGACTGCTTTCTTATGGTTTCTTAAAGCAACTTTCTAGTACAAAATTAAAAATTTTGAATTAAAAATATATTTTAAGAATCAATAAAAAAGAAATCATAAATGAAGCCTAATTCTATTACAGACACGTAACAAATGAACAAAAAAGATTACAAGAGTATTTATACATATACTGATCAGCCTTTTTCTAATCTAATTATAGCCCTCATCCTTGCATCAAAGAACATCATCAATGCTAGATGATTACTTGACAACTCTCCATATTTCTTGGCGACAATAATCGTATA